TCACCGCTTAAATACATTTCTATCTGCTAATTGCAGCACCACCGCAAGTGTTTCGCCTTTCGCCAGTAAAAACTAATTTTTCCAAGCCTACGCCCGTTTCAATCGTGTCGCGTACTGGGTTTTATTAAATTAAAATCATGTTCGTCGACGTTACGATTCATTTAGTATGAGACGTTACACAGTCGTCCGCTGTCGTCGTCGTCGTTGAGATAAATAGAATCTTTAAGCTATTTGATGAAAATCGGTTGAAAAGTGGATTCCTCTTTAATAAATTTGGCTAACTATGGTAGGACTAATCGGCAGTCATGCGTACTTCCACGATGCGTAGAGATGGTGCTTGCGTCTGGAGCTGGTGGCAGAAAATTTGGTGGGAAAAACTAAATACAATAATTCACGAAACGTTTTTTGAACCGATGAGCCCCCAACGCTAGGAGAGAACATACGGCAATTCGTTTCGTACATAAAGCGATTCCAGTTGAGATAATAGATCCATTAGGGCAGTAAAACATCCTTGCCGCTGACGATCTAACTAACGACCAGAAAAGCGATAATTGTCTATATGCGATAAGCCATTATTTTTTCCGTTCGGCAAGATTCCGGTAATAGTCAACCGGTAAAATTTTCCCTTTAGTAAAATAGTTTACTTTGTTATATAATGAACAACGCAAATCTTATTGACATATTCCATATGTTACTCGGAGCGCTGCGCAATCAAACCTCTTCTTTCCTCGCCACGATCGCAAAAACGAGGCGCATTTTATTAGGCTCTATGGTAAGTTAAGTAAACAGTAGAAATCTTCGCCAAACTGAGAAAGAGCGCATATGGAATAGTTTCATTAGTTGCCATTCAACCACTGTTTACGGTTCTATTCAGCGTTACACGTATAGACTCGGGTCGTCGTCACCGTTGACACCATAGCGCAACGTAACGCGTAACGCAGGATGAGTATTTCGTTGCTGCTGAGCGGCAGAGGGCTGACGCGGACAGTGCAGATAAAAGCCTTATTCTACTTTTTCCTTTGCCTCCTAAACTCCGAAAGCGAAGAGGCAGCAAACGAAGTCATCCTGAACAACTTAAAATACTTGCAAGACACTCAAGTTACAATGTACTAGGCAGAACTTAGCAGCGAAAATCGTTTCAAGATCAAAAACATAATAATAATAATAACGCTGAGAAATTGTTTTTACCACCATAATTTCATCACTTCTATCGATATCTAATGGCGGGAACGGCAGCGTCGGCAATTCCTGTACATATATTATCTCTCCACTGTTTTTATGTATGCAAATGCGAACGTACTCGTTTCTTCTGGAGCACGCGCGACGCGTTTTCGCATGCTCACTATGCTCAACGCCTGTGCTCCCGTTGTTCATTTATCTCGCATGATATGGACAAAAAATACAGTTCGGATTCGGTAGAATTATAGACTAGCACAATATAGGTAATGGTTACATTTTTCGGATAGTCGGTATTTACTTAACAAAATAAGGCTATATCTGCTTAAGGAACAGGATGCTAAATCAATGGTTGTCGCATCCAAGGATTATGTTTCGCGAGAACATTCCCATTTCTCAGTATCTCTTTAACACTTTTTTTTTTTTCAAAATCTGCATGCGCGTCGTGCTTTGGGCCCGCGTCGAATCGTTTTCACTACGATTTCCGTTAAAAAACCGTTTTCACTAGGTTAGGGGACGCACGTGTGTCTGAATATTTGTGTCATTTCCATTGCTCTAGTAGATGAAATTTCAGTCCTTGAGGGACAGGGTATAACATTTGAATTTTCCATAGAACTCACTATACTAGCCTTCCTTTGTTTTTTTTTTTCGCTGAAACTCTCGGTATTTTATAGAGCCCTTATACATAATCCAAGTTCACGTCCACCAATAGCGTAGGAGCAACGCCGGAGTTCTTGCAGCATTGAATTTCGAATTCTGATTTTATAGGGCAAATGCGCGATGCAGATTTGTATTAGTACGTTTTTTACTAAGATTCATTATTATGTTGCGATATAGGATAAAAATTTACAATTCTATGCGTTCTTCTCTGAAGGGTTTTCCAATCGCTCTAAGTCATAGTTACACTATTCGTGGGCTCTGTCCATCCAAATATCTCAAAGATCGGATTTTGGAGCGCGCTCCTAACAAAAGTCCATTTATCATCCCTTCAAGCCCCACCTTTATAAAAAATCACAAAAATTTTGTCGTTCTTTGCCGTCGTATGCGAGGTTGCATGTTTAACATGATGCTGCTTCTGTCTCAGCCATCAGCAGCAGGCGTCACCGTGCTATCCGACTGGTCTATATAATTTCTTCGGCAACATAGTTAGCGCCAGCGGCTTGCGTTTTCGAATAATGAATCGCTTTCGTCGTTGCCGCCCGTACTCGCAACTGCGCATAGTCGACTTGGCAGGCGGTTCCTCCCGGAAGGAAACCGGCAAGTGGCAAGCCGTCCCTGAGGTTCATGTAATCCGCTCGTGTGCCAGACGGCTGCAACCCTTTAGCGTTGTCGGAGAGTGGCGTCGACAGCGATAGGAACGACGGTTGGGTGCGCCGGACTGGTAAACGCCTTCGGCAATGAATACAGAAGTTTGAGCTCAAACGCCAGCGACAAAAGGGTGGCAAACTAGCAAACTGGAAGGACGACGAGGCAGACACTTGGAAGTACCTTAAAGGCCGTAAGCTTGTGACGCAGCCTTATTTATGGCGTTATAGCTGGCAAGGGAACTATTGATACGGAGAAAGCTGGTTATGAGGGGAAATTGACGTTTTTGGCTCTTTAAATGGACGCAACGGGTTCAACGGGCAAAAAAATTGAACGGCTGAGGGAAAAGAAAATTTTCGTTGCGCTCTCTTGTCGTATACAGCCTCTCCCTTCATTTCTGGTTTATTTTCGTTTATACACTCAGGCTTTCTTTCAGATCATTATAGGGTACAGGCACAAGTCCAGTATTATAAAAACAGCTGCAGGCGGAAAGGCACTTTTGTTTGTTCGGAGAGGTTTCCTTAGTTGCGAAGGAACCCCAATAGGAGCAGTCCATTTGGCTTCAGGTACCGCCCAGTTCCGTTGTTTTTCGCTCTTTCTTTTCCTTTGAGGCTTTCACTACAACGGGCAATGACATCGCCCCCGCGATTGCATGCCGTATTAGAAGGTAAAGAAGCAAATCGCTTTCTGACTACCTTTAATTGTGCCGTGTGCTTGGTGCCGCTCGCGGAGGTGTGCTCTCTTACTAATGTGTTCTCAACGTCCCTCTGTGTACATGTGTGTATAGTTGTGGGTGAGCATATGGCAACCAGTGAAAAGTTCGGAGGGCGTGCTTCAGTTTGATGTAAACAGCGATAACGCGCTTCAATAAAGAGAGACATGAAAGTGCCAGAAACAGTTGGAGAAAGATAGGGTGCACAGCTTGCTTAGTATAACTCTCCACAGTGTTAAACTTGGATTCTGAAGTATTCTACGAACAGGCTATAACGATAAAGGAGAATCGGGAAAAGCTTCCGACGGGTTGTTGAGAGTAAAACGGGTAGGACTGAAAGGAGGGCAACAGTATTGCTAAATCTCTAGAACGACCACCTAGTAACCCTTACAAATTTTGGCTATTACGCGCAGTGGCATAAAGTGCACAATATTTGCGAAACATGCACATCTAAATGTAGACTTCTTTGCATATAGACACCCATATAGTAAATTGATGATTGAAAGCGGCGGAAGGGCGTCTCGACGAGCTAAATCTACTAGTATGATACAAAGCTTTTATAGACGTTTCCAACCCGGACTTTTGAGGGTTAAATGGGACACGGAGCTAAAAGGAGCTAGGTGGAATGGGCTATAAAAGGCAAGCAGGAAATCGAATTGTGAAGTAACGAGATGCATAAGGGATTCGAAAAGTCGTGTAGCGAAATATGATTTTGCCAATGGCGAGCACTCATTGGTCTAGAACTGTATAAATTAATACGTTGTTTTTTCATAGCAAGCTACTCAACTTCACAATAAGTTTGTCAGAGTCGGAGGTCGCTGCAGCAGCGCTTAGCGGAGCGGTAGACGAGTTCAGCACTAATGTTTGCTATATGGGTAGATGAAAAGGAGGACGCTTATCGAGGCACGGCAGATTTGTAATGAGACTTCAATCCTCGGAGGATTAAAGGGGGATTCGATAGGAATCCTCTCGAAGGGAACTCGACAGTCAATAGGCCAACTGCAATTGGTTTTAGCTATAGTTATTAACAAAAGCAGGATATTTCTTTGTTTGTTTTGTCCTACGTAATGTAATATACGGGCAATATGTATACATCCCTTAGAAGGTTAGAGGATGACGTGACAGAACTATGATCGCAGAATAAATAAACCAGTGTTGATCGCCCTCTATTTGTGACCCCTGACTCAACATGTTTCTGCACAGGTCGCTTAAATTTTTTCGCGGGTTCAGAACGGAAATCGGTTATTAACGAAGCGGTGAAATATTCGTGATTGTGGTATATACTCATTATTGCTTTATTCTTATATTACTTCGAGGAGATTTCATCACATTTTGAAATTGTGAACTATTAAAGACACGCTCTGGAGTCGTCTTTTTGAGCTTCTTGAGGTAGCTGAGTCGTACGCTATTACTTGGTAGCTAACAACCATGCTGACTTTATACAAGCCATAAATACAATAACTGCATCGAAACAATAACAACCCTATGTATAATAATAATTTACCTAGGCTAATTAATTTAGCACCTTGCTGCCTGACGACCCTGTTGCCGATTCGGGGAAGGATCTTACTCGATCACCGTACTCCCTATACTGATAGTGGCAAGCGTTTGTTGATTGCGCAGGCTTTTACTACTAATGCATGTGGCCTATTAAGGCTACCTTCGTAACCTCTTATAGGACAATTCAGAACATATTAAGAGCGCCAGTTCTTATTAATAATAACGATAATGTTCAGAACGACGATGATCCAAAAATGCTAAACTTTCGACTTTAGGCTTCAAATTTTTGGTGAATGCAACATTTCAGATAAACTCCAGAACGTCGAAGCTATGTGGACAGTCGCGGGCTTTGCATGCATACTAGACGGAAATGCTGAAATGTTAGAAAAAATCTCCGGGCTGAATAGAGAACGGCTCAATGCCGTGCGGTGCAGACGGCTTTGGAACCTTCAATACGACTACGAAGATTGCCTCGGGCAGATGGCGCTGGCGAGACTCGGTATCTACCCGTCGACGTACTTGGGTTTACAGTTGTTGCTACTTTACAAAAGATGCTGGGCAGATCACGGTTGGATGCGAAAGCTGGTTGAGGAAATTTGCAGTGGTTAACCGAAGAATTATTATACAACGTTCATATGTTTGATTTTTATTATGATTATTATTGATTCATGTTTTTTTGGTACATACTAAGTTTTGTTTATTGGCTTACGCAGTGTATATCTTTTTTGAGCTTCTTGAGCAAAGGAAGGCTACACTTTATGTGGTTATTTAAGTGTACACACACAAATTATATATTTAAAAGTTAATCACATGTTTCAAAATACAACTATATTACAATTGGACCACATTTCTGGCACTTTTTTTTTATGAACTGCACTTGTACACCTTCGTATCTGAAATTTGAATGGTTTACGAACGTAACTTCTACCTTGGAACTACAGGAGCGAAGGCAGCTAGTGATATAAATCTTCTACGTGGCGAAGGATCTACGGTTGGAGGCACCCGGAGCAGGTTGTCTCGAAAATATCCGGAAGGGCATTTCGAATCTGAAAATGAGTCGAGGGCAGATAAGATCTAAATGTAGAGAGGGGTAATGATTGTCCAGGGGACTTATAAAATGTTAATGACAAAGCTCTTAAATATGGAAATGACGAGATGCTCTTTATAGAATTGGCGAGAGAGTTCCAAGTTGTAACTAGCAGAGTTCAGAAACCAGAAAAGCGAGCCATGTATGAGAACAATCACACCGTTAAGGTTGATGCAATAACGGTAGTGAAAATACGGTGGTTACAGTTACAGGCCTTATGTCGTACACTATTGCTACCACATAATCCTTCATTTCGAAATCTCGACAATATTTTAATATTAACACTGTGTCAGAGTCGCCTTTCGATACTTCATTAGAACTCTACCGGTGATTCTTGCTATATTGAAGGTAGATGTTTGTTGAATCATTCTTTACTTTCTGTCGTCATCAGAAATGCGTCCGCAGCGACGTCCGAACAACATGATCATGAATACTGAATAGTTATTGGTGGGGTTTCGAACAACAAAATTTCTATGAGTGCTGATTATTTACGTAAATAATAAACATTATTATTATTATTATATAAACATGCATTTCTGCTAGTCTTTGTATGTGCATGCTATCTTTCTCTCTTGCTGAGCAAAGGTCTTTCAATCTAGGCGATGCAGACAGGTTGACGCCTCGACAGTCACCCATTCTCTATAATCCGCGCACGTTGAGCACTTGCCCTAAGGCGACGCCATTGTATGGGTCATGGTTGATCCTGCAGAAAAGATTCCCTCTGGTGTTAAACGTAATACAGCAAACCTCCAAACGCTGATGATGGTCTATGCACAAGGCTTGAGACTGGACTATCATTTGCCGATTAAGAAATTTCGCCCGATCTCGGTTGATTATTAGCCAATGTGCGATCGGCGGAGAAGTTCTCGCTACCGTCATTTGCTGGAGATTAGTGGACAATTACGTCTACTCATGCATGACTGTGACGGCTGGAAATCAGATGAGGGCAACCTGTTCCACTCCGATAGTAGGCAGTTGTAGTCAATCTGTGAAAACCGTCAGGTCAAGTGGGATGTGTTGAAAGCATAGGCGTTAAGGTATAACGTCACCGTTACTTCGATTGTTTGGGATAAAGTACAATTTGGAAAACAGCCGATCAGCAGGAACTATTTTTATTACTAACGCATAAGTATGTTTGCCTGTCACGATAATGTTCACAGATATGGCAGCTGATAGTACATCAAAGTAATACCAATTGCGTATCTCAATGAAGCATACAAGAAGTGTACATTTCGTTGATGATTAAAATTTCTAACGAGCATCGATATCATATAGTTTCATAATAGATAGGGATCTGGCGACCTCTGCCATCGGTAGGGTGCTCATGACTATTGCCAGTATTTTAAGTTAAACTGTTCTAGTTCTATGAACGTTATTTGGCATTCAAGCTTATTAAGGCAGTTGGGCGGCTCTTTGAAATAAGCACGTTCTTACGCTAGGGCTTCAGCTCCTTCTGGAGCGATAACTCTGCCCTTGGATAAACACTCAAGAAAGTTTCGGGGGCAATGCATGATTATGGAAACCTATAGGGCAGAAATATATATAGGAACCTATGTGGGAAACACTGTTCTTCGCCTAAAACACCGGTGAGTGAGCAAGCTTGCAGTCGCAAAAAGTTATCCGCCATAAGAGTCACAAGCACATTTGCCTTGCGTGACCTTCTGTTTTTCGTGCAGCGCGTCTAGTATGCTATGACACTCTGAAAATGCTCATTGAATTACCCCGGCTTGTCAGAGCTAGTTCAGCCTTGTTTAATGTTTTACGCAGTTGTAAAATGCTGTGGACCAGCGACGGCGTTTAGTCCAAACTGAGCTTTATTAAGAGTAACCGTAACGATAAAGTTGTCCGCGGCCCACAAATCATGATAGAAGGAACAGGTCTAGCATCCTTAATACTTCGACACAAAGAACGGAATATTGTCTGGTGTCCTACTCTGTTGACCCGAAAAAAAGTTCGACCAAAGTAAGACTATTCAATTTGGACCATTGACTAGAACGTGCTTGAACGTATTTTTTGTTATATTAAAGAAAAACAAGTGTTCAAACCAAATTGAATTTATAAGAGATAACTACAGAAATCAAAGCTATTACTATTATTACCATCAAAGCCGTACTATAACCGCTTTCATTGCCGATAAATGGCTCATATATTTGCCCTATAGACAAGTGGGCAGAAACAGACTTCCAGCTTGAAAAAAGTAGCTTCACCGTTGATTGAAAAAGTAGACATACAGTTATTCCCACGAAAAGGTACAAACAACACTGAACCTATTTTCTCTTCCAAGAATAGCCACTCCATTTGTTCTAAACCCTAAATTTACCTTCTGCTCCTTCTAAGAGATAGTCCTAGCTTCTCTTTAGCAATATGCTATAATTGGATTTCTCTATATGCACCAGATACTATACAGTGATTGAAGCAGTGAATAAATGCGTACATCTTCATACTAATAAAACTATTCAATTATGACATGCTTGTTTCATCCTAAGATAAACATGCTGATGCTGGATAACGGTCGTTCAGTTCCGATTCCCGAAAGAGAAACATAGAATGAATGCATCGATCGAATACAAGAAATACCTATGTGTCATGGGTGCCAAAATGGCAAGTTGAAACGAAACAATGATCATTTCTATTTAGAATCTTGTATTTCCGCTGACTTTATCCGTTTTCGCGCTTGCCTCACGGTATTGTCTTCATATACTGTTACAGGCCCACGTTTTCTATAAATTTGGCAAACAGCCGATTTCGACAAAGCAAACCTAATAATAAATTGTGCTGTTTAATGAGTAACTGTTATAGAGCTTCACTTCGTAGATATGCCGTATTGGCAGCACTAGAAACGCTAAACACCAACGTCTCAATAGATTTTGACTAGGTGAAAGGTCGAAAGCCCCACTTGTGCAGGTGCCGGTTACATGACCAAATAGAATCATGTTTATGTATGTAGCATTGCGTCGCGTCACATTCGACTAATAATATGATTTTATAATCCGTTACGCATACATCAATTAGTTCTATAATGCTCAATGATGTCTATACCGGCGCTTCAACAAGCTACCAGATGAAAATCGGCGAGACACGGTATGAGTCAACACGACGCGCCTTCACTTAACGGTAGTGCGTTCGTGTGTTCCAGTATTGTGGGTTCATCTAATGAACTACGAAACATCGGATGTAGAACATATCGGAATTAAATTTCTTTAGCTTGTTAGTTTCCTTCAGTACATTTTAGTTATATATATATGACGCAGCTGAAGTTCATCCCTGATTCTCAGAGACTGCAACGACATGTACGCTCATCATCCAAAACTAGTACCACGACAGGAAAGCAGGCTCCGGAAAGAATCTTCTAGCCGTGGCAAAAAACAGTACACAGTCATACGACTTTAGAAAAGCAGCTACTGCTTCATGCTGGCTGAACCCTAATGATGATTCAAAATGTATTTCCTTGTCTTCAGTCTACCAGTCTACGTTATAGTCGACTTCGGAAAAAGTGCAAGCAAAATTTTGAATTCAAAGGGTTCACAGAGCCATTCCTGAATCCTTTGTCGGCCAACTGCTTTTCATTGAAAAATGTATATTTTAAAAATTCTCAGTGCTATTGCTCCAAGCGATCATTGAGCATGATATGCCGACACTAGGAGGGCAGACGGCCAGTATCAGCGTGATCATCGCAAGCTATGTAGGTGCCCAATGATTCGAAATAATCGACCAAATCACAGAAGTAGCCCTACCTTGGAGTGGGGTCGCAAGTCCTTTTCTATTCAGTTTATTTACCTGGGTTTCCCCAATCAATTTCGAATTTATATTTATCAATGGTAACAAATTAAGCAACCTACGGTGTAAATTGTTTCGTAACGCGTACTATATGGCTTGTGCAACATTTATCGGGGCACGTCGTGCGATGTAATACATCGTAACTGCGTCAGGGCCTGAAAAAACATGAAATTATTCAATAAATACGAAAAAACAAAATTGGATCAGATAAAGAAGATACGTGCCGAATATTACAAATCAGATTGTTACGAGGCAAACGTTTTGAGAAGAGTCAACTGGCACTGGACTATGTTGCATACAGGCTTGAACGTAGTATTTTCGTTGACGAGAGTGAGCTTTTTTTTTACTTAGGAGAAGTAAAAGGACCTATCCTTTCGAAATACGCTAGATGAACTTCCAAATCATAGCCTGTTTTTATGCGCAGCGTATTATACTGATTTTAGCTGACTCTTATCGAATAATGATTACCTGACTGTCATCCAATTGGAAATTATCAACATCCTGGCTGCGTTGACCAGCGGTGTCTTACGGGTATGGATAGTGCATTATGCTGCTCGCATACCAAAATCTCACGTGCCTTATTCCATCTTCCTAGGGTAATTTTTTATGCAATACCTAATCTCTCAGAAAATGACCAGCCCACTTTTCGTCTGGCCGATCTGGATGCCTAGATTGTCTACCAAGCGATCTCGCTATGGTATGTTCTTGCATTATAAATATAGCGGCCAGAAGGACTATCACCAATTCACTATAGAGATGACCTTGATTGTAATTTACGGAACAGCTTATCCAGCTTGGCAAAATTAGCCTGTGTTGAGTAATCAACGTTTAAAAGCGAAGTGGACAAATATTGCAACTCTCTGATTCGTATGATTTCTGCCAATATTGTGCACCGTGTTACGCCAACCTTATTGCTTTTGCCTTATTAAGTTAAATTATTACCCCCTATCGAAAGAGGAACCCTATGGTCCACGTCAGTCTGGGCGCTAAACTACCTCAAGTGGGCCCAAATGGACGACAATATGCAGACAGGCGAACGCAAAATAAACATAACCACGTCAGAAAACCCAACGGCCACGCAGAATACGGATCTACAACTACCAAAGAGCACCATGGAATAGGGCTTCTAAACGTTGCGACACATAACGACGCTGTCCTCAGGCAATTAGTGGCCATCTCAGGATATTATTCAATACCTGAAATCACCCGATGGCCTAGATAGAGAAAAAAATGCGGAAGTACTAGTGCCGAGATCTTGAAGGGAAATCAGCACAGAACGTGTCAATGCGCACAGGTAAGAAAGGCTCTTGCAGCAACAGTTAGGACTCGTCCCACAAATGCAACGATAACGATAAACGCTAGCCCGCTAATGTTCCCTCGGGTGTTACGCAACAGTAACGTTTTATAACTCCAATAGACTAGATTTAATATGGCGTTCTAATTAGGAAAAAGTAAACGCTCTTTTGAGCATGGGTTAATGATAGCTAGGTAATAGAAACGATTGAAAATAAGGTCGACAGGTACCGAGCTATTGGTCACCTTGTATAGCTTACACGGAAGACACTGAAAAATGTTAATCAAAG